TAGCAAAAACGTCAAGAACAAGCCACATTATCTTCCCGACCTTAAGAGGTCCAACAATGGTGATTTGTTCGTTTCTTCACCAAATTGAGTCAAACAAGCCTCAAATTACTCCCAAATCAATATATAAACATAATCAAGCAATTTCATGGCATAAAATTCAACAAACAAAGAGAATTAAGCAATTTAAATTTCTAATTTTCAAGAAATTCGTGAACAAATGCATGCGAAATTCATTAAAACCGGGGTGATTTTGAAGAAAACTTACATAGATCGGGGAAATGGATGGAATAAGCTTTGATTTGCAACAAATTTAAGCGAATTCGGTTGAGAAACGAGCAAGAACGAGCAAAATGAAGTTCAAAGCAAATTCTCGAGCAAAACACGAGTAGCAGCAGCAGAAATGAAGAAGAGAAGGGTATTTATGGAAAACCTGATTCTAGTTCCAAGCGACAGACTTTAGCGCCAGTCGATAAGTCTTAGCGCCTGGCGCTAGTACCAGCATCTGGTGCTACAGCCAAATATGCGGCGCTAGGAACATTTCAGTGGCGCCAGACTGTTCATCCACTTGGTGCGGTTGTTCCAACCTCTTGTAATATATTTTGGGTTCCTTGGTACGCCAGTTAGACCCTCTAAGTAATTCGACATGATTTTTAGTAATCGGTTTGATTACAATTACATAAAGTGATCGACCTGATGAATGATCGTCTCACTTAGCTCAAAGCGCCTAAGCATTGGCTCATTGCAAAGCACCAACATAATGGTTAATTCAACAAAAAAGCACTGACATACTGGTTCATTCAGCGAAAGGCACCGTCACACAGGTTCAAAAGCAGCAGAAGCGCCGAAGTACAAGCATAACGGAAACAAAGTTCAAGCGAGCTTTTAAAGATCAACAAGCGTGGATCTTCGGTAATTTTCCTTGGAACATTATCGTAACAAATGAGGATAGCTTCAAGCAAGGATATCTTCGGCAGCGTTCCCTAGCTTGCGGATAGAGGTGATTTCAAGCGAAGTTGTCTTCGATTGTATTCCCTGGCTTGTGGAAGATGGTCACAAAATATTAGAAGGTCGTTTCAAGCGAAGCAATCTTCGATGGGGTTCTCTAGCTTGCAGAAGTCTATTATAGCGGAATTGGAGGTAGTTGCAAGCGTAGCAATCTTCAGGCGACATTCTCTAGCTTGCAGAAGGTCGTCAAAAGATACAGAAATACAACAACAGCAACAAATCGGTTACTTCCAGAGACGTGTGCTCGACAGTGCAAGATACGCGTTTCTTAAATCTTTTATCTGTTTAACTAACGCTAGTTTGCAGGTATCGGTGTTACAAGAATGACTTAGGATCGCAGAACGTTCTGAATCATTCTCCGTCCCTATCGATACTTAGACTTTTGTTTTCGAAACTTCTGTTTCTCCAAACTCAGTCAAAGTGGGGGCTTCTGTAGACACCCATTTGTGTCTCCCCAAAACCAAACCCGGTGATGAGTACCTCTCACGTCGAGTTGTAATCGAATGAAGTGAAGGTGTGGAAGGTCTAGTGTTGCGGGTAGTTTTAATTTATTTTCCCTTCTCTCTGTTTTTTGAAAATCTATTTTAAGAAAACAGCCAATCCAGTTTGGTTGGTCCATGATATGGGTCTATTAATAGTGTAGTTGGATGGGGCTTGAAAAGAGCTTTCCAACGATATATTATAAGCCTAATTCCGATGAATATTGAGTAAGTTAAGGCCAAATTACTAAACTGGACCCGGTTTGAGCCTTATATGCGGCCCAATGATCTAGGGGAGGGCCTAATATGGATTTATCATTCCTAATGCAATTAGGAATGGTTTTAGTCTTCTAGATTCTTGTAGAAGGTTCTTTTCATTCCTAATTCAATTAGCATTGATAAATTGACTTTTGTTGACTTTTTAGAATTTTAATTAGAATAAAAGAGTGTTTTTGAGGAAAATACGATTTTATCCTCCTGTACGGTTAAATTCTATCTGATTTGAGAAAACGTGTCAAAACCCTGATTAGCGCCTGGCACTAACTCTGTTTTTTCGCGTCAGAACTCTAGTTCGATTTTCTATCTTTTTGGCTGATTTTCTCTATAAATAGCCTCCTAAAAACTCCGTTTCCAATCATCTACAATCATCAATTTCTTAGTTCTCTAATTCTCTTCTCTCTTAAAGCTAAACGCTTTCTTTCTCTCTTTTCTAAACCACCCTTTATACAAAATTCCGCATTCACAAGACCTGGAAACACCTAGCCAAATTCAAAGTTGCTTTCGCCCTAGACGTGAAAGGTTTTAATTTATGAGGGTTTGGTCCCAAATCTCTCTTTCAGTTATTTAATTTAATTGTTGATTTTATTATTTCCCTTGAAGTTACTAACATGTGTATTTTGTTATTAGAAAGAGGTACGAAGCATCCAAGTAAGTGCTTTAATGGTTTTTATTGTTATTATGATATAGAAATCATGCTTAGGTTGTTATTATTGATTCCTAGTGTTATGTTAGGGCGTTGTGATCTTCCTAGTATCATGTGTAGGGTAACTTTAATATCAAGTATGATTAAAACTATGATGCATGCCTTTTATTTTCTTCCTAATATTTATGATCGTTAGTCTGATGTTAGGGCTAAAGCTTTGATCTTTAATGTTTAGTGACATGCTAGGGTTTGTTATTAATCTTGTTAGTATCATGCCTAGGATCTTGCTATTATTATGCTTTATTTTTAACATGAATATGATTATAATTATTTTTATGATAATTATGTTGCTTGATTATATTTTATTGTTATTGCTTTATTACACCTTTTATGCATGTTTAAAGGGAATTTGTACTTGTAATCACGCTTAATAAGATAATTAATAATCATGTTTAGGGTTAATTTGATTATAATTCAAGTGGTCGCCAATAATGGATTTCACCTTGGTCATAGGGCTTCCCTCAGTCAAGTTCCTCATACAACATATATGTGATGCATGTGTGAGAGGCAAGCAAGTCAGGTCATCCTTTGAAAGTAAAAACATGGTGAGCACCACAAAGCCATTGGAACTCATTCACATGGATTTATGTGGTCCCATGCGTGTTCAAAGTAGAAGTGGAAAGAAATATGTTCTAGTTATAATTGATGATTTTTCTAGATTTACCTCGGTGATTTTTCTGTCTAGTAAGGATGAAACCTTTGATGAATTTGTGTCTAGAATACATGGCAAGAACAATGCTCATAGCTAGTGGCCTTCCAAGGAACTTCTGGGTTGAAGCTATTAATACTGCATGCTATATTATAAATCGAGTTATGATGAGACCAATCATCAATAAAACTCCATATGAACTGTTTAAGGGCAGAAAACCCAATATTTATCACTTTAGAGCTTTTGGATGCATGTGCTTTATTCATAATAATGGTAAAAGGAACATTGAAAAATTTGATGAAAGAAGTGATGAACCTGTGTTCCTTGGCTATGCATCTAATATCAAGGCTTACAGAGTTTACAATAAAAATACCATGTGTGTCGAAGAAAGAATTCATGTGATATTTAATGAATCTAATATGTTTATGAATGTGCAGGAACAAGACTCTAATGATTATGAAATTGGAATGGTTAGAGACAGGGAGGATGATGAAGAGGCATCTAGTCATCGCAAGGAAAGGCAAATTGAACCTGAACAAGATCATCAAGAAAATGCTAAAGTTCCTCCACCTGAAATTCAGGAGGAACAAGGTCATGAAGAAACAGGCAACGAAGAGGAAGCAGAAGAAGAAGTGCCTCAAATAGGAGTTCTAGCCAGAGAATTTCATCCAAAGCCTTTTAAATATCAAGGCTCTCATCCTATTGATCTCATCATAAGTGACATTGGTAGAGGAACTCAGACCAGATCACACATGAGGAACTTCTGTGCCTTCCAAGCCTTTCTATCCATAATTGAGCCAAGAAATCATGAAGAAGCTCTTAAAGATGCTGACTAGATAATTGTCATGCAAGATGAACTCAATGAATTTGAAAGGAACAGGGTCTGGCATCTTGAAGAGAAACCCAAGAACAAAAAGGTTATAGGACTCAAGTGGGTTTTCAGAAACAAGCTGGATGAGTATGGAACCATTGTAAGGAACAAGGCCAGACTTGTTGTGAAAGGCTATAATCAGCAAGAAGGTATTGATTTTGGGGAAACCTTTGCTCCTGTTGCTAGATTAGAAGCTATTAGAATGTTAATTGCTTTTGCTTTCTTAAATAGTTTTCTTGAAGAAAATGTTTTTGTGGAACAGCCACCTGGTTATGAAAACCCCCAATTTCCTAAACATATCTTTGAGCTTGATAAAGCTCTTTATGGGCTGAAGCAGGCACCAAGAGCCTGGTATGAAAGGCTCTCCAAGTTCTTTCTACAAAATGATTTTAAAAGAGGAAAAATTGATAAAACCTTTTTTTTTTTGTAATCTGAAGGAACTGACTTATTAGTTGTTCAAATATATGCTAGTGATATTATTTTTGGAGTAACTAACGAAATCTTGTGCAAGTACTTTGCTGTTTTAATGAGTGGTGAATTTGAGATGAGTATGATGAGAGAACTCAACTTCTTCCTTGGAATTCAAATAAAAAAACTGAAAAAGGAATTGCAATTCACCAACAAAAATATGTCAAGGAACTTCTGAAGAAATATAAACTTGATCAAGCAAAAACCAATCATACACCAGTGGGAACTAGCACAAGATTGGATGAAGATCTACAAGGAACTAGTGTAGATCAAACCAAGTATAGAGGTATGATCAGATCCCTTCTTTATTTAACTGCTAGTACACCTGATATTGCTTTTAGTGTTGGCTTGTGTGCTAGTTCTAAGATACCTCAAAGGAACTGACAATCTCTGTCTTTTCTATCTTAGAAGTGATACTTTTGATTTACACTAGTAGAAAAATTGAAAATGCCACCGCTTAAAGGCCACCGGTTTTTGTAAACCGGTGGTTTAAAAAAATGGCCGCGCAGAAGGCAAATAGTATTGCCACCGGTTCGACCGAACCCATGGCAATAATGATTAAGGCCACCGGTTTTGAACCGGTGGCAATATTTAAATAATAAAAAAACTGCGCCCCTTCTTCTTCTCTTTCCCCATTCTCTTAGCTTCACTGTTTTAATTCGACCAAACCTCCAATTCGAGCTGCAGCAACAACGAAATCTAATTGCATCCAAACCCTACCATTAGTGGCGCCACAGCCACCGCACCACCATCCACCACCTCCGCACTCCCTCCGAACCTCCTCCACCACTGAGCAAATTAAAGCAGCAAGCAGCCACGGGTTTTAGAAAATTCAAATTTTCGAGGGAACTTCCTCCACCACTGACCAGGTGCGTGGTCACTGACGCCACAGCCACCGCACCACCATCCCACAGCCACTGTCCTAAATTTAGGCTTAATTTTCTGGTAATTTTTTCTGAATTTCTGGGTTTTTTTTGTTGTTGGTAGGGTTAAAAGTTGAGAGAATGCATCTTAAACTTGCAAGAAATTGATTAATTGTTCATGAATTAGGTAATTTTTTGGTTTATTTTTCGGAATTTTCTGGCTTTTTTTTGGTAATTTTTTGGTTTATTTTTCGGAATTTTTTCTGAATTTCTGGCTTTTTTTTGTTGTTGGATGTTTGATGAATGCTTCAAGTATAAAATGTATGATACTATGATGAATGATGGATATTTGTAGAACAGAGGTGTCTAAGGATGTTTGCAAGGTTTGAGGTTTGAAGTTTTTTGAGGTGACCTAGTGATGGAAATAGTCCAAAGAATTGCTGACTGGAGATGTTATATGAGTTTTCACATTAAAGATATGTGGTTATGTTAAATTGGATGAGAATATGAAAAAGATCCATAGATATTAAGTTACTGTACACAAGTGCCTTTTTCTTTAGTTAATCCATAGCTCTTCTACGTGAACCATATGAGACCAAGACAATAAGGAGTTTTATGTTAATATGTTACACTTAGTTATAAACACATGATGGAGTATAATGTGTGTACTGTGCTAAGTGGTCAGTGTAAAATGATTATTGATATTTTTACAGGAGCTCCCTTGATAATGATGCTGGAGATTGTGAGTTTCTTTGTCATGTGTTGACTAGGGTAGAGCAGATTCATGATAATAATCTTCAAGGATGAATTGATTGAGGAAGTGAATATTAGTGGATGACCAAATGAGATAGTTTTTCATGTAACCAACCCATACAAGGCTTTGTTTTTTTTGTTGTTGCTTACTGTTGTATTTCCTTTGAACCTAGATTTTTTATGGTTGAAGCGTTGATGAGATACCCGGGTTTATCAGAAGCTTTAGTAGGGATTCAGAGTTATATAACCTCAGAATTTGGTTGGCTTAATTAGTACCTTTAAAATACATAAATATAGCAAGCGTTGATGTAATTTTAGGTTGTTTTATAGTTCTTGACAAAATTACTAACTTTTATTTTTTGTTGTCTTTTTTATTTTTGTAGATTCATATTATGTAGTGAAGCACAAGCTTATATAGCAAATTCAAGTGGAAAGTTCGAGACATTACATCCATTATACTTGCTATATTGGTATGAACTATAAACTTTATGGAGCTATATTTCTTTCTATTTATCCATTTGATAAAAGTTTGTTCATGATATTACAAGTTGTGTCTTGTTTAATTATAAATAATTACAATAATATGTTGAATGTTTGCATCATCATATGCCTAGATACCCGTTCAAGGCTTTCTCATTAGGAGAAAGTCTTGAATAGTCCCTGGTTGGGACTGTTTATGAATGTTTACTCTCACTTAGGTGGTGAATGTATGTCTTTTTTCGATTTTCAGGAACATCTTGGCTCTCCATTTCTTCTCCATGTTCTCTGGGTACATATGTGGGTAAGTAATTATTTACATCTTCTACTTGGAGAACTGGGGGGAAGTGCTGCCGGATTTTCCTTAAAATTGGAAAGTTGACATACATTCACTAGTGAGAGTAGAAATTCAAGGATGGGTTAGGTTGGAGTGATAAGGACACTTTGGAAACATGCATTTTTTCACTATATGAATGGTATATTCACCGTGTGTACTTGAAGTTGATTTACACAAGATATGTAGCAATTGTACATTATTGATAATATGTTGCTATATATGTTTAGAGACACTTTACTAAATGGGGAAGGATCGTGGTTGGATGTATGGTAGACGTGATACAATGGATTTTTGGAATGGGGTTCAAGAGTTTTGCGAGACGGATTTATCTTATCAGCGCAAAATTGGTGAGGAAGGCCTATATTGTCCTTGTGTTGATTGTAATAATGTGAAGGTGGTCAATAGTGTTGAAATCATTAGAGATCATGTACTTTGTCGTGGGTTTAGACTTAAATACCATGTGTGGATTTGGCATGGTGAAAGTGGAGAGTATAGTGAGGATCTTGATGGGAATGATGTGCATGATAAAAGCAATGAGATTCATGTGGACGAGGAATGGGAGAATGATGAATATGTTATTGATAGTGGTGAGGATGAGATCGAGGATAATGACGTGGATGAGATGTTGCATAATGTCAAAGGTGATGTGTTTGAATTACTATCGGAGGCTTCCAAAAATCCTTTGTACCCTGGGTGCAAAAAATACTCCAAACTTTCTGCCGTGCTAACACTTTTTAACATTAAGTCGAAGCATGGGTGGACGGACGTTAGTTTTACTTCTTTGTTGACCGCATTAAGTGAGATGTTGCCTGATAGGAATGAAATTCCTACGTCTTACTATTATGCAAAGAAGCTAATGTGTCCATTTGGTTTAGAGTATAAGAAGATACATGCCTGTCCTAATGATTGTATTTTGTATCGTAATGAGAATGAACAATTGGAGAAGTGTTCACGATGCAAGCAATCGCGCTACAAGCGCATGAGTTGCAATCCTTGTATGAAGGGACCTCCTGCTAAGGTGTTGTGGTATCTTCCTATTATTCCAAGGTTTAAGCGTCTATTCTCAACACCAAAAGACGCTAAAAACTTGAGGTGGCATGCCGAGGGAAGGTAGAAAAACAGAATGCTGAAGCATCCGGCTGACTCCCCGCAATGGAAGAACATTGATTTGAAGTTTCTGGAGTTTGGTAATGAAGTCAGAAATTTAAGACTTGGGTTGTGCACAGGCGGGATGAATCCATTTGGCACTCTTAGTACCCAACACAACACTTGGCCGGTTCTTTTAGTGATCTACAATTTGCCTCCTTGGTTATGTATGAAACGGAAGTATATAATACTTTCATTGCTAATAACAGGGCCTAGGCAACTTGGAATTGACATAGATGTTTACCTTGCACCACTAATTGACGATTTGAGAAAGATGTGGGACGAAGGGGTTTCTTGTTTTGATGCTCATAAGAACGAGGTGTTCACATTGCGTGCAACCCTTATGTGGACCATGAATGACTTCCCTGCATATGGCAACCTGTGTGGGTACAAGGTTAAAGGGAAAAAAGCATGCCCCATATGTATTGATGAAACATCAAGTATATACCTTAAGAATTCTCACAAAGATGTGTATATAAGGATTCGAAGGTTCCTTAGGCGTGATCACTCGTACCGTAGGCAAAAAAAGGCTTTCGATGGGACAGTGGAAGAGGAGACTGTGCCTAGGCCATTTACCGGTGTTGAGGTTTATGCTCGATTTAAGGGTATACGAACAGTGTTTGGAAAATCTGAAAAAGCTCCGGTCTCAACAGCTTTTTTAAAAAAAGAATCAATTTTGTGGAAGCTTCCGTACTGGAAACAACATGATGTTAGGCACTGTCTTGATGTGATGCATATAGAGAAGAATGTGTGTGATGCTCTTGTGGGAACACTTTTTAATATTTCAGGCAAAACAAAGGATGGAAAAGGTGTACGGTTAGATTTGGAAGAGATCGGGATTCGTGGCCTCAAGACAAGGTTACAAAGGGGAAGGACAGAAAGGGAAAGGAACCGGAACAAGAAACTGTAAATGTTTTGAAAAAAGGAAAGGTGAAGAGCAAGGGAAAGGGAAAGGCCGCGGATGCTTCAAAGAGTAGAGATGAGGGTAAAGGCAAGGTTGAGAAGAAGTATTTACCACCGGCTTGCTACACATTGTCAAGGGTAGAAAAGCGGATGTTTTGTGCATGTCTTTACGGCATTAAGGTTCCATCTGGGTACACATCTAACATGAAAATATTTGTATCCTTAAGTGGAGAGCTGAAGCTGACAAGTATGAAATCCCATGATTGTCACATGTTGATGCAAGTATTTCTACCGATTGCAATACGTGGTATTTTACCGAAGCACGTGAGGGAAGCTATTACAAGCCTATGTTCGTTTTTCAATACAATATGTAGCAAAGTGCTTGATCCTTGTACACTTGATGCTTTGCAAACGGATGTGGTTGTGACTTTGTGCAAATTTGAGATGTATTTCTCACCCTCATTTTTTGACATAATGGTGCATCTCATTCTTCATTTGGTGCGTGAGATTAAGTTGTGCGGTCCAATTTTCTTGAGGTGGTGCTATCCTTTTGAAAGACACATGGGCACATTGCAAGATAAAGTAAGGAATCTGGTTCATCCGGAAGGAAGCATGATTCAAGGGACCGTGAGTGAGGAGATTGGTAATTTTGTGGCCGACTATTTAGCCGTTGCTGAACCTATTGGTCTTCCTGCTTCTCGACATGAAGGGAGACTTGATGGTCATGGCACAATTGGGTCGAAACGAATGTCACCGGATCGAGATTAGTTCTTACAAGGACACCTTTATGTGTTGCACCATGTTGCTGATGTTCACCCATATTTAGATGAGCACATGGCTAGTTTGCATTATGAATTTCCATCGAAAGGTGAAAGGGCACTAATGCAGTTGCATAATAAGAGGTTTGTGAGTTGGTTTAGTCAACGAGTGATGAGTCGCTTGGATGATAGTGTCACCGATACAGTAAGGTGGCTTGCTTATGGTCCTAGGGATGATGTTCGCTCATTTGAGGGATATGACATCAATGGGTACACTTTTTGGACAGAGGGTCAGGATTTGAAATCTACGTCGACCCAAAACAGTGGAGTAACGCTTGTGGCATCGTCAAGGGAGTTTGCAAGTGCTAAGGATAAATCACCTGTCGATGCAAAATTGTCATACTACGGTCGAATTCAAGAAATATGGGAGCTTGATTATTGTAACTTCACGGTTGCTCTTTTCAAAAGTAAGTGGGTTGATAATATCAGGCGTAATGTCAAGTATGATGACTTTACTCTTGTAGATCTTGGGCACTTGAATGATATTGCAGAACCGTTCATCCTAGCTTCTCAAGCTAAGCAAGTGTTCTATGTAACTGACCTAGTCGATTCAAAATGGTCCATTGTGCTAGCTGGGAAAAGAAGAATCCTAGGCATTGGAGATGTTGAAGATGAGGAAGAATACGATGCATTTGATGATTCAGCACCTTTCCCTGTTCCTAGACCTATTGCATCAAATGACATAGACGACCAGACATGTTATATGCGGTCAGACCACAACGAAGGAATATTAGAATGAGGTACTATAACATTTAATTTGAAATTGTAAGCAATTAAAAGTATTATTGAATTTAATCAGAAGTTAGGTAATTTTATGAATAGTTTGAGGGAAAATGTATGATATTGTTATCTTAGTTGCTAAATTTTCACAAATTCTTGTTAATGAATGAAGTATATCTCAAAATTGACATATTATGATAGAATTTAATTTTTTTAGTGTCAACGGTACTAGAAAATAACAAGTTACGTCAAAATGCATCAAAAATGATAGAATTTAATATTTTATATGCTAACATGTATTATGACCTATATGTCTAACATTTTTATCTCTTATGGACCTAATATCGTGTTATGTTTGTAATGACAGGTGTTTATAACTCATGGAGGACGATTATGACCCACTAGTAGAGGATTTGGAGGATGATGATGATGGCTATGAGGATGAGGATGAGGACAAGGACGAGCCATATGATGTCAACAAGGAGACTGATTTGGGTGAGCCAGAAGATCAGGAACAAGATGCTTTTGAGCGCAGGCTTGATGAATTTGAAATTTTAGCTGAATGTGCGCCTGCTATTGATTCAAACATTTTGGGATGATACCAGGGCAAGTACCTCCAGGCTTGATTCAAACATTTTGGGATGATACCAGGGCAAGTGTTTTGTTACTGGTGTAGGTAGAGACCGAGTGTACACTTCTTGGGCGAATTCAATGCTTGGGCGAAGCAAATGAACTTACCCTTGCCGTTCCCCTTGACTACACCGGTCGACTCCAGTAGTCACCCAAAAGGACAAGGAGAAGATGAGAGACATGGAGAAGAGGAGATACATGAGGTAGTTTTCTATCTATTAGTTTTGGCCTAGCTAGTGAGTTACGTGAGATCTAATGTGGCATTATTGATTAATTATTGCAGGTTGTTACTCCCACACATGCGGACTCGAGGGAGGTTGATAATCCAACACCCCATGAATTTCCAGATTTAGAGGTGAATTTAGGATTCGAGGGAGCGTGTTTGGTTTTAACATAGTGAATTTCGTTACATGATCAATTGTGTAGGAAAAGACCCTTTTTGATAATTTCAGTTTTTACAAGTGAATTTCGTTACTGGTGTAGGTAGAGACCGAGTGTACACTTCTAGCCCCGGGGCTATCAAATGGAGGAGAGTTACAGTTGGTGGCGTATGGTAGTGCACAAGCGACGACTGGTGATACGGTCCATTTCCAATCGCTTAGGCCACAACATTACTTGGTCAGGATCAATTCTTATGTTGCTGGGTTTGAAAACATCCCACTACCGGTGCCTATAGTGGATGATGGGATTACTCTTCTTTGGGAAGCAAAGGGTAGCTATGTGCAATGGCCACGTGCTTGGGTGAGGTTGATCAACGAGGTAATATTTATTTTGATGTTGTGCAAAATAACAAATCTGCATGCGTACTTACTAGCTTAAACCCCGACCAAAAATTTTTGAACTCTAATTATCTTTGTTTTGATCAGATTTCGAAAAAAAGTCAACCATCAAAGAGAAGGAAGGTGGAGAAGCCTAAAAGCGTTGATCAACCTACAAAGAAGATGAGTGAACAAGGGTCGAAGAGTGAACAAGTGTGGAAAAAGAATTCTTCGAAAGGTTCAGCCATGCAACCTACTCCACTTGTTGGAGACAATGTCCTTCAATCGCTCACTAAGGATTTAACTTTTCTACACAATCGTTTTAGTCATTTGCCTAGTGACGATTCCATTGAAATTGCACTTCCTAAGGCAATGTTCCATTATGATGAGGATGCAAGTGCATGGTTAAACAAACAAGTTGTGAAGGAATTTTTAAGAGGTTTAATGCTTAACATTTCTCTCATTCAAATATTCATGAGGTACGGGCACATGCCACTTAAATTAATTATGTTATTCATATTAGTGTTGTTTATCCTTCATATATATGTCAATTAATTTTTCATTGTACATGCACGTAGAGCAATACGGGAGCACTTAAGTGACACTGATTCCCCTAGTAAAGTTGGGTGGTTATGCCCCGAACAGACATCCGAGACTAGAATCTTACACAACTCCCCCGAGGTGATGTATTATGTTAATCATAGTATTAGAGAATCAATGCGTGCGGGAGACAAGTTCACTACTAGAATTAACAGTTTTAACGACAAAGTAATAACGATAAAATGAGTTTTTTGTCGTTAATAACCTTAGTAAGTCACTTTATTACGACATTCTTAGCAGGTGGTCGTACATGGTTGAATGTGAAATATAAAAGGTTAAATTAATAACTCTATAAGCGTCGTTAATATGGTAGATGATAAATAAATAAAATAATAATAAATCATATTTTGTTGCAAGTGCTGAAAAGTGAATTCATCTAACGCGGGATTAGAGCCCGGGCAAAGTAATCATCAAAATATCAAATATTTCTATCAAAAACAAAAGGCACAATTTATTAAATCCTTATTTCCTTTCTTCTTCCCCTAAACCTCACCGCCCATTAATATTGTTAGTTTATTCAATAATCATCAAATTTCATTTGCTTGCTTCTAGTAATTTGCTTCAGCCAATTCTTCAAACAATTCTCAAGGGTCATCAACAGATTCTTGCTTGTAGGTGAATTGGGTTGAAGTTGATCAGTTATTAGGGTTCGTCGATTTGTCACAAAATTTCAGTTTGAAAGTCAATTAAAGGGTAAATTTTCTTAATTACTCTGTCAAATTTCGACCTTAATTCCTTGCATGTGCTATATTATTTTTAATTTATTCATTTTTCTGTTTAGTTTTATTGTGTATTTTTTGGGTGTTTGTTGAGATAATTAGTTTCCCGTTAGTTTAGCCGATCATCGTTTGTCTCTGTTAAGTTCAATATGTAAATCCCACTTGTCAACTCAATACAAAGTTTAATTGTTTCTTGCGTATGTATTAATTTCTTGGTTTTTAGTTTGATTGGTTTTAATTAGTTGATTCATGTGATATTTGAAAGATTATAGTGTATTATTTAATAGGATTAGTGAAAAGATTATTGAAAAGTCAACTTTAACATGTGATTGTGTTCATTATGGTGGCTATAAATCAAGTATACAAGGCGTCAATATCTTAGAAGTTCTCAAAAATTGTGGTTATGTGGCTTTATTATGATGAGTATTAGTACTCTTGTTATTTCCATCTCAAACTATTAGGACTGTTGCTGTGAGGTTATTTTTTTGCTAGCATATGAGCAATGTCCATAGCAGGCTATGTGACTTGGCTCATCTAATGTCATTGGATAATTATTGATTTATGAAATCTAACTTTCACTTAAAAAAACACTTTGAGCAACACATAATTTTAGGATAAGTTAATTGAATTTAATAGAAAAAGATGTAAGTGGAGTAGTCGAAATAATAGAAAATTATAAGAAAAGATAGTACGGTTTAAAATTTTATTAAAACGTAAGGGATATGAGAGAATAAATAAATAATAAAATAAGTAGTATTGATTTTGAGTGAGGACATGAAAGGAATAACACTTCAATAACAGCTAAATGCTATTATACTCTTAATATTTATCTAGACAATCTATCTTATTCTACTATCCTTTTTACTTTTCCTTTTTTTTCATTTTAAACACTTGATTAAAGTAGTGGCACTTTTGTATTCCTTTTAATTTTTTTTTCCTTTTCATGCATCATTATTTAAATCTTGTATATATGTACTAAGGTAATGTTGTCACATGACTAGTATTGATAGAATTCTTGTGTTGAATTTGCAGATTTTATATAGCTAATTTATTCCCTTAATTTTAATAACTTGGTAAATATGACTCCTAATAAAGATTGGATGTCCATTGAATATTATGTTAATGACCCTTCATATGAAGAAGGAGTAAATAGTTTTTTAGATTATGCTTTTGAAAAGTTGAGAACTGAGACAATTCGATGTCCTTGTTCAAAATGTGTTAATGGAGAATCTGGTGATCGTGAAAAAATTAAACAACATTTATTAGTCTTTGGAATTATTAAGAGGTATACCTTTTGGTATCATCACGGGGAAGGGTTAAATGAGCCTACTCAATCTGACGGGGATGATGATGTTGAAGAAAATGAAAACGATAATAAGGTGTTCGATATCTTGAGGGATTTATATCCTAATAATCTTGATGATATCGGTGGTAGTTCCTCCTCCAATTTTAATGATGTTGAGGAGCCAAATATGGCTACCAAAAAATTTTATAACTTGATGAAGGACTCACAAGACCCTGTCTATGAAGGTTGTAAGAGTTCTAAGATGTCTGCACTATTAAAACTTCTTCATATCAAGACTCTTGGCCGTTGGAGTAATGAGTCATTTACCATGCTTTTAGATTTCTTGAAGAAGGAACTTTTACCGAAAGAATCAAATTTACCAGATTCTTATTATGAGGCAAAGAAGACCATAAAAGATCTCGGGCTTTCTTATGAGAAAATTGATGCATGTGTAAATGATTGCATGTTATATTGGAAGGAGAATGAAAGCTTGGACTCATGCAATATATGTGGTGCATCAAGATGGAAAAGTAACAAACATAATGGGGAAGACAAGTGTAAGAAAAATGGTAAAAAGATACCCCATAAGACACTACGTTACTTCCCACTAAAACCAAGGCTCCAACGATTGTTCATGTGCTCAAAGACTGCATCTTTGATGACATGGCATCATGGTAAAAAGAAGAAAGATGGTACAATGAGACACCCAGTTGATGGATAGCTTGGGAATCCTTTGACAAAGAGTTTCCGAATTTTTCTTCCGATCCTCGAAATGTTAGATTAGGCCTTGCTAGTGATGGTTTTTAGCCTTTTGCAAATTCAAAGACACCATATAGTATTTGGCCAGTGGTACTTATTCCATATAATTTACCACCTGAACTGTGTATGAAACAGTCTAATTTGATATTATCAATGCTCATTCCTGGTCCTAAAGGACCTGGTGATGCAATTGACATATATCTGCAACCTCTAATTGAGGAATTGAGGGACCTATGGGAAAATGGTGTTGAGACCTTTGATGCATCAGCTCAAAATCATTTTAACCTACGTGCATCATTAATGTGGACTATAAATGATTTTCCAGCATATGTCATGTTATCAGGGTGGAGTACAAAGGGATATTTAGCATTCCCTTGTTGTCAGAAGGATACACGTTCAGAGTGGCTATCTCATGGAGGCAAAGAATGTTATATGGGTCAACAATGCTATTTGCCAATGAATCATAGGTGGAGAAAGGACAAGGATTCATTTGATGGGAAAGTCGAGCGTAGTCTACCTCCAAAACCTTGCTCTATAGATGAAATTCTTCATCAACTTGAGGATCTCGAAAACATTGTATTGTCTAATGATCCACAAGTGAAGAAAAAAATAAAGCACGATCTTAGAGGTGATAATTGGAATAAGAAAAGCATTTTCTTTAAGCTTCCTTACTGGAAGGCACAACTATTGCGACACGATTTAGACGTGATGCATATTGAGAAAAATATATGTGATAGCATTCTTGGGAAAATTATGAATATTAATGGGAAGACCAAAGACACTTTAAAATCACGTCTTGACTTGAAAGCCATGGGGGTAAGGTCCACACTGCACCCTATAGAAGATGGGGACAAATTTAAACTACCTCCTGCTCCATTTACATTTTCTGCCTCCGAGAAGAAAACATTCTGCAACTTTTTAAAAGAATTAAAAGTTCCTGATGGTTTTTCATCAAATATATCTTATTGTGTCAACTTAAAGGATTCTAAAATTTCGGGTTTAAAGAGCCATGATTGTCATGTAATACTTGAACATCTTCTGCCTTTGGCAATACGTGGTCTACTCACTCCACTTGTACGTGAAGCACTTACTGAGTTGTCGATGTATTTTACTTTGTTATGTGCTAAAGTATTAAATGTGGAGGAGTTGAAGCGATTAGAGTCCCAAATCCCTATTACCCTTTGTAAATTAGAGAAGGTTTTCCCTCCTTCCTTCTTTGATGTGATGATGCATTTACCTATTCATTTAGCTAATGAAGCTAGAGTTGGAGGTCCGGTTCAGTTTAGATGGATGTATCCTATTGAGCAATATATGTATAAGCTTAAATCTTTTGTAAGAAATAGGGCTCGTCCAGAGGCTTCAATTGCAGAGGGTTATCTTGCAGAAGAGTGCATGACTCTTTGCTCTAGGTATATGGACAGTGTGGAAACAAGATTTAATCGTCTTGAACGAAATTATGAAAATGCAAACGGTGGTGATGAAGCATTGACTATTTTCAGTCATCCTGGCAGAGGTTTAGGAGCTCAAACCATTATAGATATTTCAAAGAATGGTTTAAATCAAGCTCATGATTATATTTTAAAGAATTGTGAGGAGGTTCAACCTTTCCTTCGGTAAGAGTCTTAGCCCTAATACATTTTTCATTAATCTTTAGTAATTGTGGCTGTCACTAATTTTTGCTTATTTTAGAGAGTATTCTGAAGCTCATCCATATAATGATGCTGGAATCTCAGAAGAGGAATGGAGTGAAAATTTTAGACAATGGTTTAAGAATGAAGTAAGCAATTATACTATTTCTGATTTTAGGATAAGTAAAATCATATATTATTCATTTTTCCTACTATTTTTTTATAGATTGCGCGATTATATGAGTATAATAAGAGCAAGGAAATGGAAAATCTCCTCTTATTGTCACGTGGACCAACACAATATGTAACTTCTTTTACTGGTTACATTGTGAACGGTTATAGATTTCAAATACAAAGTCGTGACCACAATTTGAGAACGCAAAATAGTGGGGTCTATGTGATTGGAAACATGGGAGATGAAGATGAAAACATAGATTTTTATGGAGTAGTGACACAAATAATAGAGATGCAATACCTTGGAGGGAATAGAGTGGTGTTATTTCGTTGTAAATGGTGGGATGTGTTCGATAAGGTAAGAGGATTTAAAGAAGATGAATATGGGATTGTTAGTATTAATTGCAATAAGCAGTTAAAAACTAATGAACCATTCATCTTAGCTAGTCAAGCAAGACAAGCTTTTTATGCCATTGACAACATTAACAAAGGTTGGTTTATTGCATCGAAGACTCAGCCGCGCAACTACTCATACGATGAAAACAATGGTGATGATCCTGATGGGGATGCTTATCAGCAGGGTGAATATTCCAAACCAACATATCATGCTTCTTCCTCAACTAGTGCAAGCATTGAAGTATGTAAAATGCGGGCAGATTTAGATCCTATTGTTGTAGAAAATAATTCAAAAGTAGAGAAGCAAGATCTACAAAGAGGAGGAGAGAGGAATGATTTGTTTATCAATTGACTCTTAGAAAGCTTTTTAGTTTATTATTCTTCATAACTACCATATTTTATTTCATAGTTGAACTTTGACATCCAACTCTGTTTGCTATAAAAAGGTTATATTACTTTTTTTTTTTATCATTTACAATTTGTAGTTGAATTCATTCTTTTATTTTGTTTGTTTCTTTGTTTGTTTTTTTTTTCATTGTAGTGTATTTCATTTGTCTTAATCCTATTTTTTTTTACCCAATTCATGTTGATTACTTTTTTTTTCCTATTGTAGTGTATTTCATTTGTCTTAATCCTACTTTTTTTCTTCTTATTATTATGCAGAGAAATAATGGCTCCTCCTACCCAAAAGACTTCAATGCTTAGATCTAAAAGAGAGTATGTACCACCTCTAATGTTAGCAAGGGGGCGTGGGAAGAGGTTAGCAAATATATATTCACCCAAAAGTCCTCATCTTCAGCTTAGAGTTGGTAATGATTCCCCTATCCACAAAGGAAGTGCTGATAGAAATCTTTTACAGTCAAGGAAACCTCCGCTTGGTCAATTTAAAACTGTTAGGAATTCTGCTGTTGTCAATAGTGTTGATAATATAACTTCCTTTGATCCATTATTTGGCCCCCCCGTCCACTTAAATTGCAATAACAGAGATGATCAAGAGTCATCTTTTGAGGCAAGTGACCAAAACTTTCATGATGATGGGCTTCATTATCAATCTGAAGATGAAGATATGCATTATGAACAAGGATATGAAGATAACAATGATCATGGTCAAGATTCAGGTGGAAACAACAATGAGGCTGATAATGAAAATGATGTGGAAGTATCCCCAACAATGCAAGAAGATGTTGATGGTTATGATTTTACATTTAATTATTGCATTAAATTAATCAGATTCCTTGCTATTTTTATCTTCTCACACTTTTTACATTACATTGTTTCAGTTGAAAGTGGTGATCCATCAACTTCTAAGAAGAAGAATGATTCTGAAAAGAGGAGGGGAAGAAACAAATGTAAGGAGATAGCTAAACTGAAACCTAATGAGAAGCTACAGATTGAGTTCTTTAACAATCGAGCAGTGGGAAAGAATCACAAAGTATTTGCAAGACATTTGGGAATTATAGTACGAAATACTAACATATGTCCAGTGAGAGTGCACAAATGGAATGATATTGGAGAAAGAGAAAAGGAACACATGTGGGCAACAGTTACGGTAATCGTATTAATTTTTCTAACAATTATTCTCTTTTATTTTTTAACTTAATAATATTCATGAAATTAATTGTAGGTTATTCAATGTTTACAAGTGATGATGTTATATCTGTTTTTGTAGGATGTATTTGCCAATGAAAATATGGAAACTTACAAAGATCATATTCTCGAGCATATGAAGGAGCTATGGCGAAAATGGAGGTCAGATTTATTAAGGTACAATGTCACTAAAAAGAAAATCACCTTAGCAGCTGCATACAAGGGTAAGCCACCTAATGGGCTTGACATGAATGAGTGGAAATGGCTTATCAAGGAGATATATATGAAGGATGATTTTAAGGTGATTTGACACAACTAGAAATTGCTTTCTACTTCCATTTAATTAGTATTTTTTACGTTAAGAGATATTTATTGATAAAAAATTCCAGAAAAGAAGTGCAAGAAACTCTGAAAACAGGGGCTACTATGCTAAAGAGTTAATGCCTCGAACTGGAAGTAAGCCATTTAGACAAGTCATATGGGACGATTTGGTGAGAATTATTATTTATATTACTTGATTATATTATAGCTTTGATAAGTTATAGATTAATCAAATTAATGACAAAATAATGATTTTCTTTCTTATAAAGGGGGCAAATAAGGGAAATGAGCCAACTTTAGTTGATGTGTTCTATTCGACCCGAAAGAAAGGCACGGAACTTCCAAATGTCGAGACCACACAAAAACTGGTATGTCCATTAATTGCTTAATGTTATTACCCTGTGTAAACAAGTAACAATTTTTTGATGTTGTGTTTTAGAATGAAATTCGAGAAACAATGGAAAAAGATCCATCTCTTTCCCACGCTGAGGTAACTTTTCTTGTACTATTTTTTTTATCATTGTGTTATAATTTTCAATTTCAATCAATACCGTAATTTATTTTTTTTGCTAGAGACTTCTTTTTATATAAATAACTGAAATTGCTTGAATGATATAAACCTTTTTTTTTCCTTCAACACATCAAAGTAGTTTATTGTTACTGGAAACTTTAAACAATGCAATCCCAAACTAGTTTATTGTTGCTGGAAACTATATATAGGGTAGATAATAAAGAACAAAAATGTAGAGAGTTAAGACAATATTTATCTTAAACCTTTCTCTTCTAATGTACTTTCTAGCGTATTACCCCTTAATTACCATGTTTTTGTAATGTTTGGATTAGAAACTTGCTTCTTTGTTTCATTTTAATCTGGATTATCCTAGTTTGTTTTATAGTACTTTTTGACCATACTTGGGGTTCGATATAACTATACCGTGTTTGGACCGAGTTTGCATGGGGGGGATAAAGGAGGTGGTCTCGTAGGTGTACTAGGAGGGATGCCTCTCTGAGGTGGAGGTGTGTATGCAGATTGTGTATGTGAGGAGCGAGGGATGCCTCTCTAAGGTGGAGCTGCGTGGTCTGGCAGGCTGCCTGCGGTGTGCAGATGTGTGCCGCGGCCTGCCTGCGGTGTAGGCTGTCTTGCACGATTAATGGCTAAAAAATGATTAAAAATGGGGGATGGGTCATTGACGCTAAGAAAATAATAATCGGTGGCATGTAATTGACTAATATTTCGATACGGAAGAGTGTTTTCATCGAATGTGACATGTCTAGAGATGATGATTTTATTAGTGGTAATATCTAAACAACGATAACCCCTATGAATCACGATGTAACTCATAAAACTCAAGATGGAAATCTATGTATATTAATAGGAATATATTTTTTGATGTAAGTCATAACTAATTGTGTAACATACAATATTAAGCACATAAATTTTTGTTCTCTTAACATATATTTTCATATTAATGTATATTTTAAGCTTTTAATGATTATAAAATCTATATCACATGTGCAGATAGCACAAAAGGTATTTAAATCCAAGTCTCGAGAGTGAGTAATAGGCTATGGAGGAGGAATAAAGCTGAAAGATATTCAAGGACCACAACCTAGCAGAGAAGAACTTCAAGTTGAATTGAATGCCTCTAAAAAACAAAACCAAGTTCTTATAAACCGCGTTGAACAAGTACAAGAGGAAAACAATGAATTAAAAGGTCGCATTGGATCAGTTGAGTCTAGAATGAAATTATTTCAGGAAATGTTAGTGACACAGCTTAATGTTACTATACCTTCACAAGATGGATCAGCTTAATCTGGCACATGATGAGTAGCTGCAATATATCATTGAAGATCTAGGATCTCTAATAAATTTTTTATTTTTATTTTTATTTTTGTTTAAAGTTTAAGATATCAGAATTCTTTTTAGATATTCCTTTTTTTAAAACATACTATTTTGTCTTGTTATATTGGATGGTAGTTGGTTTTAAATACATTAAATCTAATTTAATATTAAGTTATGAATCTTTTGGTTTTCTATTTTGTACATATATGTTTATTGTGTTTTTTCCTTATTACCATAATAAGTATCTAGCAGATGAGAACGGGTGGGATAAAGCAAAATAGTTTATTAATTTTGTACGATTTATTTTAACGACGAAATATTTTGTTGTTGTAAGATATCAATTCAAAATTTAGTTACCGTTAGAAAAATTTTTAACTATAAAATTGTTGGTCGTTAGTTGGTAATAGTTCGACGTATTAAATCTACAAATCACGACAAAAAGTCAAATTGTCGTAATTAAGTAACGACGAACTACTATTTCGTCGTATAAATTTAACGACGAACGTAGTCGTTAAAACCAATAACGTCGGAACCTATTACGACAAAAGCACGACGAAATAAGTATTGTCGTGAAAGGTTTTAACGACGACTATTGAGCCTTGTTACGACAAATATTTTCGTCGTAAAAACCCCTTTTCCTAGTAGTGGTTCATATTCGCCCCATGTTATGAGGAGTACGTTTAACCATGTGTAATTCAATTCTTTCTACATTTGAATTATTTGTTGTACCCTAATTATTGATTTGTTTGTGTATTGTGAATTTATGTAGGTTTCATTAGTTCCTCATGGTGATTTGTCCTGCTAATAACACAATCTTTCACCTTGATTTAGCTCGATCAACAAAGAAGTACCTCGTGATGTCTGTACTACAAAAGTAAATATAGCTACCTAGTGTTGATTATCTTAACCTAACTCATTTAGTAGTCAAACTAATCAAATTTGAACTTACTTTCCTATAGTATTATGAAGAAGATACATGGTCGTGCTCCACGGGGTCCTACATGGAAATCACCTATGGTAATGCCACATCATATTGTGATTATCTTAATAAACATTGCTAAAACAATTGTGGATTTTATGTGACGTTTGATTCATTTGATTGGTTCCTATGCTAGTGCCCACAACAAGATAATGAAGTTGATTGTGGATTATACGTGATGAGATTCAAGCTTGACATAGCGACTCATTGTACCAACACCATACATCTTGATGAGATACGACCTTAAACTTAGTAAAATGTTCTTTCTCTGTGATTTCAAGGCTTAGCCACCTATAACTAAGTATAATTGACATGTTATGAGAAAGAACTTGGTCATTAGTTAAAATATGTAGAAAATGGGCAAGTAGAAGTCAAATAGGCCTTATTTAGGCTATTTTGGATGAAAATGCGACCTTAAACTAAGTAAAATGCTTTTTTTCTGTGATTTCAAGGCTTAGCCACCTATAACTAAGTATAATTGACATTTTATGAAAAAGAACTTGGTCATTTGTTTAAAAATGCAGAAAATGGGCAAGTAGAGGTCATTTAGGCCTTATTTAGGCTATTTTGGATGAAAATGCGACCTTAAACTTAGTAAAATGCCCTTTTTCTGTGATTTCAAGGCTTCGCCACCTATAACTAAGTATAATTGACATGTTATGATAAATAACTTGGTCATTTGTTTAAAAATGTAGAAAATGGGCAAGTAGAAGTCAAATAGGCCTTATTTAGGCTATTTTGGATGAAAATGCGACCTTAAACTTAGTAAAATGCTCTTTTTCTGTGATTTCAAGGCTAAGCCACCTATAACTAAGTATAATTGACATGTTATGAGATATAACTTGGTCATTTGTTAAAAAATGTAGAAAATGGGCAAGTAGAAGTCAAATAGGCCTTATTTAAGCTATTTTGGATGAAAATGCGACCTTAATCTTAGTAACATGCTCTTTTTCTGTGATTTCAAGGCTTAGCCACCTATAACTAAGTATAATTGACATGTTATGAGAAAGAACTTGGTCATTTGTTAAAAAGTGTAGAAAATGGGCAAGTAGAAGTCAAATAAGCCTTATTCAGGCTATTTTGGATGAAAATGCGACCTTAAACATAGTAAAATGCTCTTTTTATGTGATTTCAACGCTTATCCACCTATAACTAAGTATAATTGACATGTTATGAGAAAGAACTTGGTCATTTGTTAAAAAGTGTAGAAAACGGGCAAGTAGAAGTCAAATTGGCCTTATTTAGGCTATGTTGGATGAAAATGCGACCTTAAACTTAGTAAAATGCTCTTTTTCTGTGATTTCAAGGCTTAGCCACCTATAACTAAGTATAATTGACATGTTATGAGAAAGAACTTGGTCATTTGTTAAAAAGTGTAGATAATGGGCAAGTAAAAGTCAAATAGGCCTTATTTAGGCTATTTTAGATGAAAATACGACCTTAATCTTAGTAAAATGCTCTTTTTCTGTGATTTCAAGGCTTAGCCACCTATAACTAAGTATAATTGACATGTTATGAGAAAGAACTTGGTCCTTTGTTTAAAAATTTAGAACATGGGCAAGTAGAAGTCATTTAGGCCTTATTTAGGCTATTTTGGATGAAAATGCAACCTTAAATGTAGCAAAGTGCTCTTTTTCTGTGATTTCAAGGCTTAGCCACCTATAACTAAGTATAATTGACATGTTATGATAAAGAAATTGGTCATTTGTTTAAAAATGTAGAAAATGGGCAATTAGAAGTCAAATAGGCCTTATTTAGGCTATTTTGGATGAAAATGCGACCTTAAACTTAGTAAAATGCTCTTTTTATGTGATTTCAACGCTTAGCCACCTATAACTAAGTATAATTGACATGTTATGAGAAATAACTTGGTCATTTGTTAAAAAATGTAGAAAATGGGCAAGTAGAAGTCAAATAGGCCTTATTTAGGCTATTTTGGATGAAAATGCGACCTTAATCTTAGTAAAATGCTCTTTTTCTGTGATTTCAAGGCTTAGCCACCTATAACTAAGTATAATTGACATGTTATGAGATATAACTTGGTCATTTGTTAAAAAATGTAGAAAATGGGCAAGTAGAAGTCAAATAGGCCTTATTTAGGCTATTTTGGATGAAAATGCGACCTTAATCTTAGTAACATGCTCTTTTTCTGTGATTTCAAGGCTTAGCCACATATAACTAAGTATAATTGACATGTTATGAGAAAGAACTTGGTCCTTTGTTTAAAAATGTAGAAAGTGGGCAAGTAGAAGTCATTTAGGCCTTATTTAGGCTATTTTGGATGAAAATGCGACCTTAAACTTAGTAAAATGCTCTTTTTCTGTGATTTCAAGGCTTCGCCACCTATAACTAAGTATAATTGACATGTTATGATAAAGAACTTGGTCATTTGTTTAAAAATGTAGAAAATGGGCAAGTAGAAGTCATATAGGCCTTATTCAGGCTATTTTGGATGAAAATGCGACCTTAAACTTAGTAAAATGCTGTTTTTATGTGATTTCAACGCTTATCCACCTATAACTAAGTATAATTGACATGTTATGAGAAAGAACTTGGTCATTTGTTTAAAAATGTAGAAAATGGGCAAGTAGAAGTCATATAGGCCTTATTTAGGCTTTTTTGGATGAAAATGCGACCTTAAACTTAGTAAAATGCTCTTTTTCTTTGATTTCAAGGCTTAGCCACGTATAACTAAGTATAATTGACATGTTATGAGATATAACTTGGTCATTTGTTTAAAAATGTAGAAAATGGGCAAGTAGAAGTCATATAGGCCTTATTTAGGCTATTTTGGATGAAAATGCGACCTTAATCTTAGTAACATGCTCTTTTTCTGTGATTTCAAGGCTTAGCCACATATAACTAAGTATAATTGACATGTTATGAGAAAGAACTTGGTCCTTTGTTTAAAAATGTAGAAAGTGGGCAAGTAGAAGTCATTTAGGCCTTATTTAGGCTATTTTGGATGAAAATGCGACCTTAAACTTAGTAAAATGCTCTTTTTCTGTGATTTCAAGGCTTCGCCACCTATAACTAAGTATAATTGACATGTTATGATAAAGAACTTGGTCATTTGTTTAAAAATGTAGAAAATGGGCAAGTAGAAGTCATATAGGCCTTATTTAGGCTATTTTGGATGAAAATGCGACCTTAAACTTAGTAAAATGCTCTTTTTCTGTGATTTCAAGGCTTAGCCACCTATAACTAAGTATAATTGACATGTTATGAGAAATAACTTGGTCATTTGTTAAAAAATGTAGAAAATGGGCAAGTAGAAGGCAAATAAGCCTCATTAAGGCTATTTTGGATGAAAATGCGACCTTAATCTTAGTAAAATGCCCATTTTCTGTGATTTCAAGGATTATCCACCTATAACTAAGTATAATTGACATGTTATGAGAAAACTTGGTCATTTGTTAAAAAGTGTAGAAAATGGGCAAGTAGAAGTCAAATAGGCCTTATTTAGGCTTTTTTGGATGAAAATGCGACCTTAATCTTAGTAAAATGCTCTTTTTCTGTGATTTCAAGGCTTAGCAACCTATAACTAAGTATAATTGACATGTTATGAGATATAACTTGGTCATTTGTTAAAAAATGTAGAAAATGGGCAAGTAGAAGTCAAATAGGCCTTATTTAGGCTATTTTGGATGAAAATGCGACCTTAATCTTAGTAACATGCTCTTTTTCTGTGATTTCAAGGCTTAGCCACATATAACTAAGTATAATTGACATGTTATGAGAAAGAACTTGGTCCTTTGTTTAAAAATGTAGAAAGTGGGCAAGTAGAAGTCATTTAGGCCTTATTTAGGCTGTTTTGGATGAAAATGCGACCTTAAACTTAGTAAAATGCTCTTTTTCTGTGATTTCAAGGCTTAGCCACCTATAACTAAGTATAATTGACTTGTTATGATAAAGAACTTGGTCATTTGTTTAAAAATGTAGAAAATGGGCAAGTAGAAGTCATATAGGCCTTAATTAGGCTATTTTGGATGAAAATGCGACCTTAAACTTAGTAAAATGCTCTTTTTCTGTGATTTCAAGGCTTAGCCACCTATAACTAAGTATAATTGACATGTTATGAGAAATAACTTGGTCATTTGTTAAAAAATGTAGAAAATGGGCAAGTAGAAGTCAAAAAAGCCTCATTAAGGCTATTTTGGATGAAAATGCGACCTTAATCTTAGTAAAATGCCCTTTTTCTGTGATTTCAAGGATTATCCACCTATAACTAAGTATAATTGACATGTTATGAGAAAGAACTTGGTCATTTGTTAAAAAGTGTAGAAAATGGGCAAGTAGAGGTCAAATAGGCCTTATTCAGGCTATTTTGGATGAAAATGCGACCTTAAACTTAGTAAAATGCTCTTTTTTTCTGTGATTTCAAGGCTTAGCCACCTATAACTAAGTATAATTGACATGTTATGAGATATAACTTGGTCATTTGTTAAAAAATGTAGAAAATGGGCAAGTAGAAGTCAAATAGGCCTTATTTAGGCTATTTTGGATGAAAATGCGACCTTAAACGTAGTAAAATGCTCTTTTTCTGTGATTTCAAGGCTTCGCCACCTATAACTAAGTATAATTGACATATTATGAGTAAAATTGGTCATTTGTTAAAAAGTGTAGAAAATGGGCAAGTAGAAGTCAAATAGGCCTTATTTAGGCGTTTTTTGATGAAAATACCACCTTAATCTTAGTAAAATGCTCTTTTTTTCTGTGATTTCAAGGCTTAGCCACCTATAACTAAGTATAATTGACATGTTATGAGATATAACTTGGTCATTTGTTAAAAAATGTAGAAAATGGGCAAGTAGAAGTCAAATAGGCCTTATTTAGGCTATTTTGGATGAAAATGCGACCTTAAACGTAGTAAAATGCTCTTTTTTTGTGATTTCAAGGCTTCGCCACCTATAACTAAGTATAATTGTCAAGTTATGAGAAAGAACTTGGTCATTTGTTTAAAAATGTAGAAAATTGGCAAGTAGAAGTCATTTAGGCCTTATTAAGGCTATTTTGAATGAAAATGCGACCTTAAACT